AACTGCTCAAGCCGTCCACAATGCCACAAACGTGACGGCTTCCGGACCACTGCACAGCATGAAATGGATCACTTAGGGCCTGACGAGTGAGCGGAGGTGGACTCTGGTGTTCCATCAGCCTTGCCAGGTCAGTCATGTTGTGGATTGCAGTGATTGGACTGATTGCACCCTGCCCATTCAAACAACTCTTCACGCCCTTCCGGCTGTCAAGGGAAGCTTTGGACATGAAAGACCGGGAGAACCTACAGTACTCAGAAATAACTTAACTCAGCAGCGAGTTCAAAAAAGTGAAAAGCTACAAGCAAGTTTGTCGCTACAGGTTCTTAAACCCACATATCGAGTCCCTGAAAATCCAGGCCATGTGTACTGTCCAGGCTAGTTGCACCTTGACGGCGCAGCGCCCGGAAGGGAGAATGTGTACAAACAAGTCAGTTGAAAGCTTAGGCAAGCCCAACAGCATGAACCCACCTATCAAGCAATGGCAACATCGCACGTTTACCTACAAGTGCTGCGTCTTTGGCAACCAATGCTGCTTTGAATCACCTGAGCTTTGTCAATGTGCCGAGCATCACCGCATGGCAAAATAGTGGCATAGCACATGTGCCCACACCGCCGCAACAAAATCAACAACCGAGAACCAGGGAACCTGTTCCGGAACCCCACCCACTCTGGAGTGAAAGCATGCCTGCATAGCGCCATCATGCAAACAACATACCGGTCTGCATGGCAGCATCATATACAAAAGGCCAACTTGACATCATGTCAGCATTTTGGGGTGGCAACGCCTCATCACGTCAGCATGACAATCAACTTGTTTGCGTGTCAGCAAACACTGCATGTCATTATGGCAGAATGTCTGCCAGTTAGCATGACAGAGTGTCAACCTGTTAGAATGTCGGAGTGACATGACAGCGCACACCATACAAGCGTGTAGCCTGACAGCGTGGCAACACGTCAGCAGAACAACACGCCAGCATTGTGACATATCAGCATGACGCCATGACAGTCTCAGCAAAACAGCATGTCAGCGTATCTGCGAAATTGTTGCGGAGCTTGCGGAGCTTGCTATGGAATGTGTTAATATGTTCCGGAACCGGAACCCCCAACCCTGCCGAGACCTGCTCCGGAACCTGCTCCGGAACTTGCTCCGGAACCTGCTGCGGAAACTGCTCCGATCTTCTCCGAAGTCTTTACAATCGCTGAAGACCCCTAAGTTTCGCTACTGGGGAAGTATGGTGCGGTCGTTGACAGAGTCCTACAAAATCTAGAGCATAGAGTTTGCGTGCATCCTTAGTCACCACACAACTTGGCTTGTGGCATTCTGGTGGATAGTGCAAACAAATATGGCTCTCTGTATTGTTGGCAAGAATCTTTTTCTCCTTGTATGCAAACTGTGAGGCCTCTTCTGTCTCTCACACTCGGAAAGCATAACAACACCTACAGTCAACTGTATGAGTAGACTCGACTCTTCTCATCTCTTCTTCCTCCACCTCTTTTTTGTCCAAACCCTTTCGCTTCAACTCTGGGACGCCCTGACGCTCGGCACCCGGCCCGAATCGTCGTCGATGCGCCGTCGCTTGGGCCCCGTGGGTGTCTCGGCCTCCAAGCGACTCAGGTGTCTCTCAGTCGTCCGGGAGTCCAACAGGTCGTACGATGTAGATGGTCTTCGAACTGCTACACATCTCGTGCAAACGATAGGCTGTCAGATCGTCCGTCTGAGTGATTTGACAATACCAATCAAGGACAAGCTCACCTTAGCCATCTCAGCTTTCCAAAACATGAAGGACCGGAATGCGTCCTACTTCCCCGCAGACCTCTTTCCCATCTGAATCTGCAGTATCACTGGTGGAAGTGGAGGAAACTCCGGTGGATTCAATAGCCTTGGCGTTACAGTTGCAGCAAGCTCCAAAGTGTCACGGCTTTGTGGCTGAACGTAGCACGTCGAAAACGCAAAACACCAAAAGGAACATAAAAAGGATGCACCTGGCAGAGTCTGCAAAACGAGATGAAAAAAGCAAGGCAAGTATGGGCACCTGAATCTGGGCCCAAGGGGCCCTTACCTTCATGTTTCATCTCTTACTTCAGACTCTTCCTTCTTTTCTCTTTTCCTGGCATGGCTTCGTTCCTGCGACTTCGTTAATATCGTGCTGTCATGCCACAGGAAGCCGCAAGGCGGCGGCTGCACCCTCAGCGGCTGTGTCGTTGAGAGAGCTGCAAATCTCCTGCATCAGAGCTGCGCTGTTTCAAAGCCTCCCCGAGCTGAGGAGGAGTGGTCCTCTGCTGCGGACAAGGCAGCAAGAAGGCAAGCATCATCCTCAGCTACCAGGGACAGTTTTTGCCTAGCAAAAATAGATGCATCATTCGCTCACCCGCCACACCAGTGTTTTTGAAAAACACATTGTCAGGTACAACTGAGAGTTGTGTCTCGAACACGCCTTTTGGGAACACTCAATGTGATTGGACATGGGTCCTCTCAACCCTTGTTTGTCTGATCTCAACAAAGTTTTGGGTCCAATCAGGTTTTGAGGTCTCGCACTCAAACTAATGTGGCCTCTTTCCCAGCTTTCTGCGTTTCACACCTGCACGATGCTGTACCCGGATGCAGATGCCACCACGCAGCATGCCACCTTTCCGAGAGAAGAGCTGTCATTCCAGATCTGGGGTGGGTATTGACCGCACCAAAAGTGATTGAAATGTCCCGAACCATCTGCTTGGGGCTGCCAAGTTATCAAAGAATCAAAGAGGCTGCGTGTTAGGAGACAACAAAAAGCCAATTCGATGCCACCCCAACCCACAGGGTGTCATTTCGAGAGTACTTTCTTCTTGCTGTCTTTGTTTTCTTGAAAGCAATTTGCCATACAATTATACCCGGAAATTCGGGGGGGGGGGGAAAATAAGCACTTACCAGGTGGCAGCGGCATGTGACGAGTGCAAAGGGCCCGGGCCCGAATCAGGTAAGAACCAGTGACCGTCTGTGACCAATGGTTAGGGGGAGATGGTGATCAAGTCCCAAAATGCCCAGCCATCTGCGAAATCCAAGCACTCCTCTTCTGTGTCAGTGTCAGTGTCATCTCCTCTTTGATTTACTTATATAAATTCACAGCCATGCATGCTTTCGTGTTGGTGAGTTGACCTGTTGATAACCCTGTAGATGAAGTCCCCAACCTCCCAAAGACCAGCCATGCCAGAAGTATGACAGATGCGTCACGCTGTCACTCGCAATGCTGTTGCACCTTTTCCTCCTCACAGGGCCCACCAATGAAGTGTGTCACCTTAGGAGCGCTCTTCAGCCCCATCCTGTACATTCCCAAAGTCTGGAAGCACATCATGACACTTCACATGTAAATGATTACTTTAAGCCCCCATTAGGGAGGCCATCGCTATTAGGGATGGGACCTGTTCTTGAACCATTCGACGTGACATGTTAGGATCTGAAACTCTGTGGCTCCTGCCTGTGAACGCAATTCCTGTTGCCCTCGATCATTGAGTACCCTGCAACCACAGTCAGTTTGGAAGAGCCTGAGAACACCTTTTAGATCTTTACACGTATTAAAACTAAACAAAAGCACCTGGTGGATGTTTCACAAAAAATGCTCTTTGAGAAGTTCTGTGCCACTCAAAAAGGCAAAAGCAAATAGTGCCATGGTGAGCTTTAAAGTATCGACATTTGTTTGTCAGCCTTTCGCGATACTTAAAGTTACCCACTCAACAGGAACAACTGTATTCTAGGAGGATCTCAAAATGGGTGCCAAACTATGCAGGGAAGTCACTTTAGTCACAAACAACATAGATCATGAGGAGTTGTACTTTTGATTTTAGCAACCAGGCATCTCTCACTCAAGAAAACTCCAAATCTCAATTCTTAACTAGACTTGTGTATACATAAATACATATAATAAATATAGTATATGTAGATCTGGTAAAGGTTGACCAATCAAGCGCTGATGCAAGTAGATTAAAAAAACAGACGCGCAAAGCCGCAAAGCCAATTGGAAAGGTGTCCAAGCTGAGGAAACAGAGCGACGCTTTCTCTCGCCTCGCTTCTGCTGCGTGGTATGCCGCCCGCTGTCGTGCGCGCAGCACGGTGCGTCCAGAGCTCGCCAAATCGAAAGGGCGAGCCCTCGTACACCAAGTGTGTCCGAAGAAGCAAAGCTTCTGTTGCTATCTGAGAACTGTTCTTAAAGCCCGCTCCTACTTAATTAAGTAGGCGCCTACTTGCTTAAATTAAGTAAGGGAATAAGTTACGAGACATCCACGCAGGATAGCTCACGCTTCTTCAAGGAAGCTCCCCTGAGGGCGGGGGGAGCTTCCTTGAAGAAGCGCTCGCACTAATCATTTCGTTCCTAGAACATTAGGGAAACTATACTCAGAGTACGTCATCGACCTTTTGCTGAGGTCGCCGCAGGTTTACCGCCACAATTCCATCTTCCCCTCAGTCACAGGATCAGTTGATCGGCGCCAAACCCCTGGAAGTGACACTCGAGGGACAGGCCGCAGTCCACAGGGTCCAGCCGGAGTCGAAAGGACACCGGGGTCCGGACCTCTGAAAATGTGTGGCGCTGGTGTATGAAGCGCGACAGCGGAAAGAATTCACAGTACAATAGAAAACATGTTGTTCTTCATTTTTTGAAGGCAGTTCCGGTGTGAATGAAAGACCAAGACTCTGCTCTTAAAGCATTGAACCAATTGCTGAGCCACCAGCAGAGCGCATCACTTCACGCCTCACCTGCACTGCACTCCAGCTATTCTGTGCGATTCACCACACATTCCTGAAAACAAAAGGATGTCTTCTGGGTCTGCTGGCCTCAGGCGGATCTTGCTCGGTCAAGTTCTTCAATGGGCCTTGCCTCAAACGTGCACAAAAGCCAACCATACAGGAATCTGTGTGGAAAGCCCCAGGCGGAAGAACTTGATAACGGCGCCCTCGGAGGTGAAATGTCCTGGTGACTCGATTCGCCGCCCATGTCTGGTCAAAGAAGCTACTGCAACAAACAGTAAGGCTCGCATCACGCCCTTTTGGGATCCAGCGCTAAGGCGGTCAGTCTGGTTTGCGGTGTGGCGGCTAGCTAGTCTCTCATTGTGCGCGGTTGATGCCGTGCTGGACAGCTGGTTCATTGAGCATCGGTGACCTGCAGACACAGGCTACACCCTGTAGGGTGAGACATAGTTGTTGTGTTACCTTTTTGAGCGAAAGGCAATGACGTGCAAACCCAACCCAAAGCCACATTAGAGACTTTTAGGATGGTTAGCACCTAAGCAAAAACATGCATGGCTCAGGATAACTGCAGACCTGCCACCTCTAGCAACTGGTGTCGAAAGTAGACTTTCCCAGAAGGCGAAGTACTTCTCGCCTCACTTTGAGCGCTGACGCATCTTGCGACGTTTCTTTTGCAGTCGGCGAGTGCGCTTCTTCTTCCACTTCCAGCGAAACTTCGATCGCGCCTGGCTTCAACGTTTCTGGCTGTGTGTTGAGGCGGACACGCTCCTATGTTCTATACAACATTGTACCAGTTTCCCTCGATAGCAAAATACACCAAAAGATACTAAGAGCAATGAACTATCCCAGCCCAGCCTTTTTGTACGGGTTTGATTTGTGCGCCATTGCGCCCCGAAGCCGGCTCGAGCTGAAGGCGTCCGTGGCGAATCGAAAGAAGGTGCTGATAGCTTCAGAATCCTTTTCTTCTCTCTCACAATAGAGACCCACCTATTGGGGGTGCGTAATTCAAGACTGGAAAACATCAACAAATGATTTCTCAGCTTAATGTGGAGCATTTAGATTTTGGAATGGATACGTTTGTTGACCCCAACTCGAAGGTTATGATAAGCTGCCCCAAACGTGAGTAGTACAAAGTAGAATTGGGCACCCGCACTGCTCGACAACCAATGGATTCCATGCCGCAAACAAGCTCACTAGTTACGCTGTCTCATCGACATAATCATGTGTTACTCCGAAGCTGGCGATTTGCTCAACAGCTGCTTGAGAACTCTCCGCAGGTCTTCTGCGAGTCTGTCTCCTATATTTCAGAGACGCAGGCATCTGGTTCGTAACACCAACGACGGCTGTTTCTCGCCGTCCTTGCTATTAGATTGAATGACGCAGTGTGCCCTGCTTGTGATTAGCGCATCTTCTTCTGCAAGGCATTCAGCATCATGTCCACCCTGGGAGCTCCACGCTTGCGGCTCCAATGCTTCCGCAGCGCAGCAAAGAGTTGCAACATGAAGGTATTGATGCGAGTGCTGAGCGGGGTGAAGGGATCTGGGAACTTGTATGCAGCCACCGCCACCTCGAGTGACAAGGGTCTGTCTATCAAGGTATTTTCAGCTCTGGGATTGCATGTGTGGCTCTGAACTGCTTTCATTTTCTTGAATTGGTTCTCGTTCTCTGGTGATTCTTGGTATATAAAGTAAGTGACTTCTCGTCATCAGTGACTGCTCGTAGGTGCTTTTGATCATATACAGGGTGATTTGTGCGTGGGATCTATATACAGTACGCCAATTGACAATCTGTTTTGACTTCTGATCTGCTACCCTTTCGTCAGTGAGTGCTCACAGAGATTCAGCTGCTCACAGAAAACGCTGCAAAATCATGTCAAGGCCTCGGGGTATCTGTTCCAACAATATGCAAACAAAAGGAATGAAAACCAAGTCACCAGGCCATCCAAGAATTCAGAGAGAGACATTTCCTCATCATCGTCCACGCCTTCGTTCTCCTCCTCATCATCAGCCGTGGCATTCTGCTGAATCCCTTGGAAGATCTGCTGAACCGCTTGTTCAGTCAAGGTGAGATCCAAAAAGCCACAATCATCAAGCATCATTTGAAACTCCGTGATGTTCATGGTGTTTTCTTTCTGCATGGCTTCAGTGGTTGACATGTCCAAACATGCATAGAGCTGGAAAATGTAGAAGAGCTCCTTGGAGTGCTGATCAAGCACCTGACGAACTTGGCTACTGTAAGCCATCTGCTGGAACATGCTCTCGGAGTCATTGCATGCATTTGGTTTCAAATGGTCATCGATCAAAAGCCGTACTTGTTCAGCGAGGGAATTGCCAGCAGCACGAAACTTGGTAAAGGCACAAAGGATTAGCACTTCAATAAATTCATGAGGTGCTAGCAATTTGTCATCACCTGTCCTTGTCTTGTCCTCCAAGTGATGATTGAAGATGGTTTCCAAGTGGAAAGGAGCGAATTCCTTCGAGCGCAATTTACACTCCTGGAAGAGCTTCAGCAAGCCCTTGAGGTCCACACCATGCGCGCCAGAAGGCTTTGCTGTGCTGTAGTGCTTAAAAATGGCCCGAAGAAGCCGAAAATGGCGTTTCAGGATATCCTCCACTTTGCCAATCCCGGCTTGATCAACATTCACCTGCTATGGCTATAACCAATGCGCCATGTGAATATTGAGAAGGAAAAACATCTCTGAGTGCTGTAGATAGATACAAAGGGGCATTCTACTTCAAGGCTACGCTTTAAAATACAAAAAAATACAAAGATAATTTAGCAATTTTGTGTCGTTTTGTCGGCCACCTCTTTGTTGTTGGCCGTGAGCCGCTCAATGCTGACTGAGGTGTAGAAGAGAAACTCCCGGAGCTCTTTGGCATCCAACATGGTTTTCGGTTGACCTCGCGGGTGACTCGTTTTTGAGTGAGCCATTTTTTTGTCTAGCCCGCTCCCGCCTCCCTACTTACTTAAGTAGGCGCCTACTTAATTGAGTAAGGGAGAGGTAGTAGGTACAGGACGCTCCTAGGTAGGACGCAGGATAGCTCACGCTTCTTCAAGGAAGCTCCTCCCGCCGCCCTAAAGGCAGCGGGGGACACGATGAGGGAAAGCGAGACTCCACATGACCCTCACCTCGCTAAGATGAACAGAATGGCTGAGAACGTTTACTGATCCCAGAATCCCAGGGTCATAGAACCTTCTGTTTTGACCCAGGGTGAAAGCAACTTCCTGCTCATTGTTCTCATAAAATTAGACTCTTCTTTACCTTCCTGTTCAATCTCCTTTTAAACTGAAATTCCTTTCAATGTATTGTTCAATTGGCTTTTTGTTTTAATTGTCCTGTTCAAGTTGTTTCATTCTCCCTTTAAATCAAAGTGCCCCTTTAAAATCCCTGTCGGTCAGTTTCCTTATAGGTCCTAATTGTCCCTTTTGAATGTCATTTTCCTGTTCAATTTCCTTGCAGGAAAAAGTCGAGGAAGTGAACAAGCTTTGCAGAATGTGAAACCCACAAAATTAGCTTCTCTGCAAGCGGGGATACCATGTCAATTGCTTGGAGTCTATCTCACAGGGCCAAGGTCAAAGTGGAGAGAACCTCTTTGCAAATGAGCTTAACCACAGGTCCTGAGGCAACTAAAAAATACCCGCCAAACCACCCAGAATCTCTCGAAGCCCGCCAATCCAGAAGCCGCCCGAAGCCAAAAAGCCACAGCCAAGAAAGTACCAAAAGCCTAAAGTGAGCCAAGAGCCAAGAGGCCAGTCAAAACCAAAAGCCATGAAGCCAGCAAAAGATAAGAAGCCACCAAAAGACAAAAGCCAAGAAGCGACAGAATCAGAAGCCAAAAGCCACCAAAGCCAGAACCCACATCAATCAAGGTATCTCTCCCTCACGAGTTGATCAGAACAAGAACTCTCAATTGGACTGCGAGTCAATGATCATTAAATCAAGCTCTCCTTCACGCGCACGTTCAATGTGCCAGTACAAAAGACTCTTACGATGCAATGAACATTGTGAGTTCAACCATGGAAACAAAAGGCCGTTTGGGGACCTTTCAAGCCCTGGACTACTGACACTTTTGCTGGCAACACTGTATATGTCATTGTCTGCATTCCTGACAAGCAAAAACGATTGCATGACCAACCAGCCGCAGCCACAATCAGCCAACCAGTAACAGGTAATGCAAATATCAGGCCCTTCCATGCCCGTCCCGTCCTCGTGCTCGATGTGAGAGCGTCTCGCCCAAAAAGGTATGCACTCGCTCCTTGATTCCTGACACACTCCGAGAGGCCTCCTGCACTGCTTGCACAGCCAAACGGAACTCAGTCCAACAACCTTCCAGTTCTTGGCAAATCTTCATGGTCTCCGTTGGATTTGGGTAGGTCAGGCTTGTCAAGCCATTGCTACAAACCTGCTCCAGCAACTGCAAGTGCATCGAAAGAAGGGACTCTGCACGAGCAGCCAGATTTGGTCTAACCAGCATCAGCTGTGCCAAGAAGCAGGCCAACATGTCAGATTGGCCCTCAACCACTGCATTGACTGTCAGCAGCTCGTAGTCACTGCACCGTGCTGCAGCTGCAATGATCTGATCTAGTCGCTCCTCCCTGTTCTCTGAAAACTCGCTTGGGCAAGCCTAGGCAAATCGCTGAACTTGAAAAAAGAATCGAGACAAACGCCCTGATAAGCACCTGAGGATTGGCATGTCCTAGTGTCATCCAAGGAAGCTCAGAAAGGGTATATATAAAGTTCTTCCGCAATCAAAGATCTATTCTGCAAAGTGGAAGCCAACAAAAGCAACCCGTACACCGTTACACCCGGACATGTCCCACACAGAGACGCCACAAGGAATTGAAGAGGACATCAACATGGGCCCACTGTGAAAATGACAAGGAGAACCTAATAGCACTGGCCCAACCCTAAGAGCGATGGCCTCCACCCACTGCTAAAATGACAAGGAGGCATCCTTTTGCCATGAAGACATATCGTTCGTGCAAACACATCGACCCAATCTCCCCTGCCCCTTCTGCCTCCGGTGCGATGACCCGCAGCAGCTTGGCTAGCGCGAGACCATCCTGACGACGGTGTTGCAGCAGCTGGTCCCGTGTTGGAAGGATTGCATTTCGGGTCAGTACCCACGGACATGGATGAACGTTGAACTGCATTCCACCTTTGCCTTATCTACCCTGTGATAGCCACCTTTGAGAGCTAAACCATCCCAGTCACCTTAAAGGGAAGCCAGCACTTATATGCCGAACAAAAGCAAAGAAACAAACCACAAAAAAACAAGATGGAGCCCACGAACCCGAATGCAAACACGTTCAAAAAGCTACATATGTCCAAATGACACTCTTGTAGGACACTCTTGTGGGACACTCTTGTGGGACACTCTTACGGGACACTCTTGTGGGACACTCTTGTGGGACACTCTTGTGGGACACTCTTGTGGGACACTCTAGTAGGAAACTCTTGTGGGACACTCTTGTAGGACACTCTTGTGGGATACTCTTGTAGGACACTCTTGTGGGACACTCTTGTAGGACACTCTTGTGGGATACTCCTGTAGGACACTCTTGTGGGACACTCTTGTGGGGCACTCTTGTGGGACACT